AAACCGGGGGGGGGGGGCCTGTTTTTAAAATGTTGTTGTCAAGGGGGGAAAACCCATTCCGGGGGGACAACCGGGGGGGGGGGGGGGGTCTCCGCGCGCAAGGGGTTTATTCCAAAAAACAAATGTGGAGAGGTAAGAGACTTGACAGAGGAACCGATGACGGAGGTAACCCGAATCAATTGCAAAAGCTTGAGTTCCTGATGTTTTTCTCGATGCCTGCAGCCCATGCTCAAATTTGAAGACACCAAACGGAGGATGCGAAAAATTCAATCAACGTGTGGGACAGGCTGCATTACAAAAATGCGAGCTAGAAGCATCACGCTATCGTTCAGCTTCGTATGCGATCGCGAAGCGCAGATGCTCCTTGTTCTATCGTCTCACCAGAGAGAGGTCGACCGCACCCTCGTAGGTCAGGTAGTAAAAGACGTTGGCTGCTTTGACAGCCTGATCTCCACGTTGCTGATAGCCGAAAACTAGGTCAATCCAGCGATGAAGATTCCGTGAGACTTGCTCTGACTCAAGTGCGAGACGGTGAATGCGCACGAAGTCAAATGCGTCCTTTGCCCATGGAGGCAACTCCACATCATCCACAGCACCCTTTTCGCCCTGTCAAAGGCAGTTTCGAATCTTGGTCAGTATCTGGGAAACACGACCTAGGTTACAAATTCCTAAAACGGATGCTCACCTACTCAAGCTGCTGTCCGTCAAGCCGAGGTGCCTAACGGCAACACACATACCACGTATGAATACCTCGAGGAATAGGATCGCAAATGAAGGGTCACCTGCATCTCGCCAAGCGGAAGCTTGTTCGCATTCAGAAATATTTCAGGGCAGTAGAAAAACTCCGGAGTGAGTTCCTTCACGTCTGACATCGTACTCTCGTCAGTACACCCTTTCCAGCTTTGGCCCAGGTCCGCGAACAGACGGTCGGGGCAGTCGAAACGCCCGCCCTGTTCACAACAAACCGGTGGGCGAAGTTTGAGGCATTAGCATGGTCCCCGTTGATCCCATGAAGAGCGATACTGGAGACAAATCTGCTTGACTTCAGATGACCAGGGAAATTAAAATACTTTTTTGAGGCGCGCCGATAGGGGGAGTTTTCGTCTTAGCAAGAATAAGCTGATTAGAGGGATCGTGAAAAGTACATGTACGTACGTGAAAATACAATAAAATCTCGCGAGGGGGGGGGCAATTTGCCAACAAGTGTGTCCGTGCAGCGATACATACACAGGAGATTGGAGCCCATTTTACCATGTAGGCACCAAATTGCAATATTTTGCCCGAGCTGGCCCAACTGCTTCCAGCTCAATCCGTGCTCAGTGTATCCAGTTACGAAGGTATCTGCGCCGAAATTGAAGTAGGGAACCAAGGGTTCCTGCCCAAAAACCCAGGCAGGCGTGATTTTTTTTGTTCTCCGCTGTCGTGTGCTCAGCAGCTAGCTAGCTGCTGCTGCTGTGGCAAGACACACACTACAAAGAGACAGGGCACCAACATGGACAAAGGGGCGCGGGAGACACACATACACCACCGGGAGAGCGAGGCGGGAGTGTGTGCCCTAAACTACTGCTGTTAGCTATCGGCGGATGGAGCGAGAGGAGAGAAGCAGAAGACGCGTTGGTTGCGTTTTGTGCGTTTTATTGAGCAGCGTTGTATTGTCATCAGCGACAGAGAGGACAGAGACACACCTGAGAAGACAGAGGCTACCAACACGTTGCTAGACACCACCCCTTCTCTAGATGTACTCCAGTAAACCTCTCTCTATACTTGTGTGCGGGAGCCTAGGGTGCCACCTGTGCCTTCCTTGCTAGTCTGATCGAAGCTCGACACTAGAGAGAGGAACAGAGAGGGTTGTTTTTGCGCTGCTAGCTGATGATAACACCCCCCGTCTGTAACTGATGATGACGAACACCACACCCCTTCACTAGCTGATGATGAGCACCATCCCCCCTCTCTAGCTGCTGATGATTGAACACCGCCCCCCAACTCAACACTGTTCTTGTGTGATGGTACAAACGAGCCAATGGTAACAACGCGCGAGTCTACTTGAGGTAATTTTTTCCACAAAAAAGGTATTCCACCTCCCCACGTAGTAGCAAAATAAAGCGCCGCTGGAGGGAATGGAATATCTCTATCTCGCCCATACCGGCTGTACCTGTTTACCCAATGTCTCACAAGCTGAAACGTCATACTGCACGACCGATCCCAAGGTCACACTATAGCGATACAGACAAGAGTGTTCAGAGGCTCGCAATACTCGAGTTGCTTCTGCCGGGACAAACAAAACAGTGTTACAAGCCTGGGTGAATCGTTCTAGACTACCCTACAGAGTTCTCACCACGTAATGTTCTAAAAGCTGAAAGACGCGAGAGATCCACCTACACATAAAAAACACGGTGTGGTCGGGGAAGCGTGAGGGCATTAGTACCCAGTCCGCCTGAGGACAAACAAAGGGAAGAGCGCCACTACTGTTTTCCCACCGAAACACGTTTGTTCTCTTACGCATCATTTCACGCAAGCCGCGGAAATAATCTACTTTGTTCACCTGCAGATTGATATGCAGAGTGGTGAACGGCTCCTGACGCACGAGATAGTGCAGAACGACGCCAGCGCTGCTGTAGTGGGTGCCGTACATGAATTTCGGCACTGTCTCATCCTCGAAGGAAGCGTATCTGTAGGAGAGAGCAAGCACAACGAAAGGGAAATATCTCCAGTCGGCACGCGTGACGGCCTACATGTGCACATGCACGCCAACACAAAGCGAACTTGTTAGAGACCAGTTGAAATAAGTAATAATTTACCTTTCCAAGAAAAGTTGCCTCCGTCGCTCGTTCTGTGCCCCCATTGGTTTGCTCAAGTCTCTGAACGACGCCGGATTGTTGAGATCTAGCTCGGTTGACGTGTAGTCTGCAAGCACCCAAGGAAACACTGGATACTGGGATATGTCGTTGTAGGAGCGCCCTGCGATCACGTTGAGCTCCATGATGTACTGGAAGTTAGAGATCTGACGTCGCCGCCAAAGCTCTGTGATCTTGCTGGCCTTGAGCACCTGAAAAGCGACAGTCGGAGAAGGTCAGAAACTTCAAACCATCTACGTAACCGATAACATATAAAAGGCAATATCTACATGCTTCTATAGGTAATACCCCAAAAAGGTATGACCACGTGCGTACCTTCCTCGGGTGGAGAATTCCCTGTCGTGTCATAACTGGCAACATGGGCAGCCTTCGCTTGCGCAAGTGCCTGGTGAACGCTTGGCGCTCATTGGTATCTTCGAAAGCAAGGAACACTTCCGGAGAGTCCGCCCAAAACAGCTCAACAGCCTGCGGACTGAGCAAGAACCGCCGAAGGTGTACCTGCCCAAGATTACGAGATCAAGCAAGCACGGAAGGGAGAGCATCGTTGCGATAAATCGAGGTGTTTCACGCCACCGTCGTTAGCTATCAACCACACAATATGAGCCAAAGAGAAACTCGGCAATGGTGGTTGGATTGCCAAGTGTTGGGCTTAAAAAAGACAAGACCGAAGTTGCACAAGTGTCACCTGCGTCAGTCGTTCTAACCGCCAGCGCCAGGATTGCCCAACATGTTGAGTCAGCCAAGCCGCCGTCGCCTCTTCGCCCCCCTCGCTCTCATTGGGCTGGCAGTTGAACACCAGGCTCTCTTCGAACAAGTACAACACGCCTGGCAGTGACCCTTGCCGCAGCACGTTGGTGGCTCGCCATTGGCCGCACAAGCGCTGCACCCTCCCGGATGGCTGTATGTCTTGCCATTCGAGGTGATTCGCAGCCGACTGGGACGCTGCTTCGACCTCTGCCTGTGAGGCACTCAGGTGAGAAACATCTTGCCACTCTGCAGGGTCAGGGTCTTCTTCCGTACCAGTACCCCCAAGGCCAAAGGAGTCGGCAGGAGGTCGGTCGTACGGTTCCACCTCTCCGTCAGTTTCCTCTTCGTCGTCATCGACAAAGCCGAAACTTCCTCCAGAGAGAAGGGATGCGCTAGGCTTTAAACTAGACACCAATCGAGCGTCCTGATGTACATCATCGTCGGATGTAAGCAGCTGAGATGGATCCCCCGAGCTCGGTGTCATCCCTGCGTATGCCGCATCCTTGTGGCTCACGTCTTCGTCAATAGGAACCAGCAGCATCTGCGAGCTCACGTGGAACGACGATTGCAAGTCTCACTTGATTGAATGAAAAAAGAAGCACGGTGTGCGTCACAAGCGAAGGTTTTTCGTGGTCGCACGGAGGGTGCGCGTTGAGCGCACTGCTCACCTGGCGCATGAGTTGGTCTTTGTGAGACGACACCTCCCATCCAAGCGGGTTGTGGCTCCCATGCTTGTGGTCTCCTGCTGCCCAAGGTGACCAAGCGGCAGAGAGAGTCTGCAGGCAGCACTTAAACCGTCGCCGAGAAGCGAGCAGGCGGCAGTCTGTCTCGACTTCGCGCAGCGCCCTAGTCTTGAGCGCCTTCTGCCTCAGAGTGTCGTCGACCTGTCGTCAGCGATAATGGGAAGTGTAGCTGTTTCATGTTCGAGTGATACGGTGGTTAATCGCGGTTGGAGAGGCGGTATCTCAGCCTTCAGATTGCAATAACATTGAAGGAGCTCGGAGCGACACACCCTTAGACCATACGGTAGAGCGGGCAACAATGGCACCTTGTGTATGAAATTTTTGCACCCAGCGCATGATGAAGAGAGCATTGGAAAACAATCATTATCCTACCACGAATCAGCTATATAGCTGGACCCAATCCAGGTGCCGTTCTAGAAAACACAAATGCTACAACCTTGTTGGCCACGCCGTCAGTCGAAGCCAATCCGCCCTTGCTCGCGTGCGCACATACTGCGATTCGGTTTTCACGCTCTCGCCATCTTCGGGTGCGCTCTCCCGCCTGCCTTACTGCCCGATTTTCGAGTTCTTCCGCAGCCTGTCATTGGGGGAGTTGGGTTTCTTGATTGTCAGCTTGTGGCCTTACGAAAAGGTTCCTATTCACAGTGTAGCTGCCTCTTTCGTGCGCCATGTCTGCCACAACAGAGAAGTTTAATCGTGTTTATCAGTCAGGTCAAGGCTAAAGGGGAGTACCTTCAAGCTAGGCATGCAAGCCTCCAGCAAAGCAGCCACTCCATCACTTGCACGTGTGGCGCTCTCTTCCGTGGATGAAAAGAGAAAGGTTGTTTCCATCCACCTCAAACTTTGAAGAAGGTGATCCCAGCATCGCCGAGCTTGGTCAGAGTACAGCTCGAGAACATCATCAGCGTTCACGCTCTCGGGTTCTCCGAAAGCGTCCTGTGGCTCAAAAGTGGTCGCTTCCACAATGGCGCTCCACAGTTGTTCACCGAGCCTTTCGCTTAGCAGATCCCGCCGATAGATGGCAAAATACCGTAGTAAAGCAAGCAACCCCGTTCCGTACTCGTACGCAGCACTCGCATCCACAGCCGACGGGGATATCGCAGAGCTGGTGAAGTTTTCATCGGCGACAGCGTTTCTAGCTTCGGAGATACACCTGTACGAAGTACCACCTACGGTCGTCGCCTGTGTCTTGAGCCTAAGAAGAGCTGCATGAACGTGCGCCAGTACGACGATGCACATGTTGTCGCTCTCCCTTGAGAGACTGGCCTCTTTCGAGTGCCAGCCGTCACTCAGGAGACACTGAACAAGCGACGCTAGCCTTTGCAAGTTCTCTTGGGCAGGCCTGGTGAACGGATGAAGATGGACCAATAGGAAGACGCTAAGGCGAAGAAGTGGAAACATAAGCGGTCCTTGGCCAGAGACCACGCTACGAGCTATGCAAAGCTCAAGCAGAGCCAAGGACGCCCCGCCAGAGAGAACTCCAAACATCCCCAGAACTCTTGCTGATAGAGCAAGGCTTGCATGCCCGGCAGGGCTCGAGTACAGGAGGAACGGAATGCTAGCTGACGCTTTAGATGCTCGGATGGCTTCACCATCACCCACAAAACTTGGTTCGTCGCCAGTTTGCTCTCCGTCTCTCCCTGCATCTTCCCCCCGTGGGAAAAGGCCTAGGGTCACCGTAGACACGTCATCGGACACGACGTTGGCTGCAATGAAGGCAAGGTGAACCATGTTGTTCCATCGTGGCTGCTGAGGCGTTTCCACGTGTTCGCCTTCTGGATTTCCGGCATCGCTTGATGAATCTGAGAATGACTCAGCCCGCAAGAGCGGCGACGAAAAATCGGGGTTTTGTCCCACCTCAAATGCCAGCTGCGCCAGAAGAACTCGAACAGCCTTGCGCCCGTGAGGAATCAAATGCTGAAGACTGAAGAGAAGCGCGCGGGCCAAAACGGCCAGGGAGTTAGTCGTTACACCACATTTCATCGAGATTTACATTTTGCTTGTACAACCAAGGCTGGGCTCTACACCTATGTACGCCAAATGTTTGGCACGTGTGTCGCGCCAGGATGAGCAAAGTACCTGGAGGCTACTGCGATCTCCTTGTACCCGTCCTCATCGAAGGAAATCGCATGTTCCAGAAGAATGGCGTAGAGCCGGAGCACCTGCGAACAAATCAGAAAATTCGAGTTCCGTTTTTCGGTAGGCGAAGAAGAAGGCATTCACAACCACAGGCTCAAAAACAAATCGTGGGTTCGAAACCCAGGCTAAACACTTGAGGTGGTTTTATAACGGGAAGACTCGTCAGAGACTCTGGAACATTCTGCAGGATGTGGGTGACGAGTGCAGAAAATGAAGCTCAATACTGTAGGCATTGGATGGATATTCTCGGAATGATGTCTGGTCATTCGGACCCCACGATCAACTTCTTTTTAGAAGCCGAGTTTAAGCCATTGGACCGGTCACCGAATGGTTTGATTTCGGGTTCTAAGTACAGTTGCGCCTACGCAGCACGAAGGCTGACAGCTGGCTTTGACAAGCCGACTCACCATCAAGTAATCCCCTGTTCGCTCCTCATTTCGGACGTCCTCATCTTCTCTGTCCAATCCTGCGCGGTCATCTGCCGCTCTTCTTCTTGCGGCACAAGGAGATGGTCGTTGGATGAGAGTGATGCGCACAAGACCAGTTTCAAAAGGATTCAAGCAACTCCATTTGCTGGACTGGTCACCGGTGTTGACTAGGAGGGATTGTGACCCTTAGAGAGTGTACCACGAAATATTCAACCCAACGCAGCAGACAAACTGTGTGCGCTTTGCAAAACACACACGAAATGTTTCATCCCCGAGGCGATGAAATCCGGCACACCTTGAAAAGAGTGGCGCCATCATGAGGAACATGCAGCGCTCCCAGATACCCCAGAATTTCCCCCTGTTCACAGAAGAAAGCTCCATCACCTTCTCACGGTTTGCCCTGTTGAGTTTGAGCATCAGGAGCAGATCTCCATGAGACCGCTCCTGTACGCAGAACGAATCATGTTGGGTAAGATCGAAACCATACTTGTCTAAATAAGAAACTGGTCAAAGAATGAAAACAACGGTGTTACACTCGCTGCCTCATAGCGTAGCACTCGCTTCGAGCAAGTATCACGGTTGTGAATTCCGGCGACGAGTTGCAGAGAGAAAAAAAGTTTTTAACACGCACATGTAGACACACCTGTACAGAGCTCGCCATTGTCGGTAGATGCTGAAGAATAAGAGCGAGTGGAAGAACGTTCCGAATGAGCTGCGTATCATCAAGCACGTGGTCTTTCCCTCCGCGAACATCTGCATCCCGCAAGTCGTAGTCCCACCAAACGCCGCGCGCGAGCTCGCCGTCTTCGGTACTTGCTCCCCCTGGTGATGAACTCTCCTTCATCTCTAGGTCGCTGCTGCCGTGCTGTCCAAAGCGGGAGTTGGCGTTCACGATCCCAACAACATGGCCTTGACCAGACCATGGCACGTCATGCTCGTCCCCTAGCAGCGCCATTTCGAGAAGAGCGGCGTAGGTGCTCTCACCTAAACTATGTCGATGTCGCATCAGTCCCTCGGACAGAATGGGGAACACCGAAGACACTTCGGTATGGTTCGGAGGAGAGCATAGACAAGGTCATTCGGGGCGGTTAGGCATAGGAATGAAACCCACCCCAACACCAAATCGTTTTCGTTTCATTGTAAGAACCTCCATTAACAAACCGCAGTACGCTGGGAAACTCGCGTAAAATTATGGCAACCATACCTTTCGAGCTCATGCCTTCGCCTCCAGGTACTGAGGCATCCAACCCGTTAACTTTCGAAGATCGTGCCATAAAGACATTGGAGACGAGTAGTCCGGCACCACGTAACTCTTCTGATGTCCCGTTGACCAAGACACAGCGCTCGAGGACGAGTGGTACAAAGCCTGACATGCGATTGTGAGAAGTTCGCAACACAGAACAAGTTAAAGTGCAACAGGGGCGCCTAGAAAAAATGCCCTTGTGCAGACTACATACAACACGGACACGCGCGCTGTGGTTCGGCTGAAGCAAACCGAGTCTAATCAGGGTGTGTAAAACAAGGCTGAAACGCGCCATAAATCTATATCCAAAGTAGAGTTGTTGAGGAATGGTGCGCGCTCGACTTGAAAGCGGGATAGAATATCAAGCGTGTAAGCTGAGCTGTACCTGTACGCGGCGGACTTTGTGTGCGAGCCGTTTTTGGTGTTCGCCATCCATTCCCGCCTCCTCCTCCCTCGGCAAGCGACGCCATCTCCAGAGCCCAAAATAACCCACTGGGAGGCACAGACTTGCGCATCAGCGAACCTAGCATTTGCATAAGTTCACACACCTGCAGGGTATGGGGCAGGGGTCAGCACCTCGCTAGTGCCATCACTCGGTCTTCTAGACATGGCAGCAACAATACACAGAAACGAAAATTCACACGCAAAATGTAAATCAGCAGCATCTCACCAGTCGTGTGTCGTCGCAGCTTGCGATAAAATGAACTAGAGCTTCTCCATCTTGTTGACGAACTTCTCGCTCGAGCAGCAACAGCACAAACTCCCAAAGGAAACCACGCATGTGAGTCCTTTCCCTCCGAAGCATGCTGCTCCACTCCCGGTCTGTAGTGCTGTTCGTGTCAGAAACGTCAGCTGAGCTCTCGCTTGTTGTTTCACTACCCAAGAACCCAGATACGCTGTTTCTGTCCTCTTCAGGCGGCCGTCCGGTTTCAGCTGCAATCTGGTCTGGGCAGCAAACATGAATGCTTGTGAGCACGCTTTCTAACGGCAACAGTTGCCGAAACATCTCCGGTGCACCACGAACCATATCCAGCACGCTTGTCACCAAACCGAATTGGAACTCAGGAGGAGCCCGTGCCCATAAAGAAAAGTTAGACAGAAGATAAACCAGAATCTGGTTGTCCAGGGAATACATCCCCGCCCGAGGTCGATACGCGTCTTCGGCTAGACCCGGCAAGGCTTGCTGAATGTAGACAGATAGTTGATGCGACCGACACGCCCAGAATATTCTCTCCAGGACAAGGACGGTATGAGCCCCCGCCTGCGCAAAATATTTCTTTGCGGCAGACTGGAGAAGGAGCTCCAGGATCTCCACGCCTCCGGCAAAAAAGAAATCACCCTGGTCACGGGGGATTGCGCAGAAGGACAAATTGGTTGCAGCATTGCCGCATGCTACAATGTGATGCGTGCTATTCTGCAAACACAAAGCACACATGTAGATCGCCCTGCACGAACGGTAAAACTGGGTTTCGCACCTGATTCGCGATATTTCCGTCGAGAAAGCTGAGCAGAACCGACAGCACAGTATCCACATTCTGCCCTGTCGCGGGGTTGGGGGTTGGTGTTGCCGGTGGCCCTTGCGGAGTATCCGACAGCAGCTCATGGGCCAACGAGAGGACAGTGAGCGTCCCGCCAATGCTTTTGACGACGTCTTGCGCATGGTGTGTTATCCACACGTGGGTAGTATCACCCCGTAACAGCGCGTGTTGCCCGTTGTGCGGCTCCAGGCATAGTCCATTGATGGTACGATCTGGCAAAAGAGCTGCGAAAACTCTGTACTTCGAGCCAAGGAGTCTTCGTTTGAGGCGTTGCTGAGCAGAGACGGTGGAGGTATCGTCCCAAAGATCCAGATCTGGAGGAGTGCTTGCACATGCATCAGCATCCTGCTTCATGTCGTCTATCCGTCCTGCCAATCGGCTAAGCATGGACTTCACAATCTTTTGGTCCGCCACCGCTGATAGTAGCAGCACCCCCGACATTTGGCCATCTAAATCCCATCCAATGCTGCAGTGAGCAACGGGCTCCGATACATGCCGCGGGTAAGGCACGGAGGAGGTAAACAATAGCTCTTCGTCGAGGAAAACCTGCATCCGGAGCGACGTCACAGGCAGTAGCAAAAGACCCGCAGTGTGAACAACGAGAACAACTACAAAAAATCTGATTTGTGAATGTGAAGCATCGGCGTCATTTCTTATCCATGCATCGAGCGACTACCGCATCGAACACGACGCTCAACACACACACCCCATTGCTACCCACCGTCTGCAGCAGTCATACCAACATGCAATATTTGATCGTCACCTACGAATGCGTGCTTTTGTGGTTACCACAAGTTACTTGCCTCCAAGTGATCTTTGTTGAACAGCATTGTGCTGGATCGCCTATGTGAAATGACCAAGGAGTGCCATCTCCCGCTCATTGACCCCGCGTCGCCGATGTCAACGACGATAGGTGGCATGCGCCCGCTTCCTTTGCCATGAGCAACCTCCACAAAAAGACGGGAATCCTGCATGGGATCGGACAGACAGCATGCAGCGATCAGAAAGAGGGGTGCTAACAAGTGGTTGACGGCAATCTTCCTGTGGAAACTCACCGTATACAATCCCATCGTAGCAGTATATAGCCCGCGGCACAGCAAGGCGTGCAGGGGACGGAGGAGAAACATACCATGATGGACGGAATGGTTCCTTACGAAGCTCTCATTCCTGGTTCGAATCCGGCTTGCTGCTGTACATTTTTTTTGGACCGCTCCAAACCTATTTAGGATATAGTCCTGCAATCCCTAACCTAACATAAACAACCAGACCCAAAGCTACACTACCATACTGGTAAGCGCTAATAGGTCTGTACTTGAGTAAGCCAAGGCCGCGGCGCAAGAGGGGTAAAAACTATTCAGGGTTAGTGTGCACGGTTAGCGCTATGCATAGGTTGCTGAACGGTGAAAGGCTAGGTTGCTGTAAAGGTAACGCCGAAGGCGGGACAGGTGAAACGCTAGTTTGCTTTACGTTTACACCTAAACCGCGACGCAAGAGGGGGTAAGGGCAAGGTTGCTGTGCACGGTAAACGCTCGGTTGTGGTAGAGTGAAAAGCTACAAGTTGCTGTGCACGCGCCCCACCCTACCCAAGGAATGTTCCGAGAAATGTTATTCCGACATGGAGAACATTGCGTTCAACCAAGTCGTGAGCACTACCGATCAAAAAACAACATGAGGATCAAAATTCTTTATATCAAATGAGGTGAAGTGTCAATCTCGCACCTACTGCTGTAGTCTACCATGGTCCCGCTGGTGGAACGGTTTCAGATGGGTTTCATCGTTGCCATCGTACAAATGCAAGGTTGCACTGGCGTCTTTCTGCTATGGCTATTGAGGTGGCGGCAAAGAAACATGTAGTTGAGGGACGAATGTTAATGTTGCTGGCGATCGAAGCGCACCTAAATGTAGTAGTCCATACCAGCGCCGGCGTCCGTAGTAAACGTGACCAAGTGCGCTTTCCTCGTGGCTCCTCCGCGCGTGGAAGGAGGCACCAATCTCGTGGATTGTTCCACTCGAATCCAGGCGGCGAACTGATACTCATGAGTAAAGGGCCAAGTAGCAATAGGAAGCAGTAGGCCTGCCCCATCACCACCGAAGGTAAACATGCTGCCGATGGCTGCACAATCTACACCCTTCGGCTTTTGTTTCCCTCCACCCAGGAGGTTCCGCCGGGAGTGGCTCTCGCGTGATGTCATTCCCGAGAGGGCATCTAAAATAGGCGGTGTCAACATAGATGGCACGCGAAGTTCGCGCAGAAGGCTCTTAAGTTCGTTGACCCCAATGCCGGCAGAGCACACCATACCAAGGACGCGGCCAAGGACTCCAATCACGCTGGCTTGGTCCTGTTGTTCTCCGGCAGCGGTTGGGTTGTCCTCGGCATGTGCCGCAGTTGCAGTAAGGCCCCGCAGCAATCCGAGCACACGCCGCACAAGCTGGCCGCCCTCGCAACTAAGACGCAAGCGAACCACGGAGCTGTGATCAGAACTCAAGCCTGCTTCTAGCAAAACCATGACTTGCCGTTGAACATCTCCTGGAAGTGCCATGAATGTACTTGCTTCCAGGAGTGAACACAAGGCGTGCCCAGCTCGCCGATTGACCACAAAGGTCCGCGCTTGGTTGGCCTTATCTGGATCACCCTCCTCATGGTACGGAGGAGGAACTAGGAGATCACCAAAGATAGTTTTGTATTCGTGCATCCTTGGTCTCTGTCGTGGGCGTGAGGGAGTGCAACCCCGCGGCCTCTAACTCGTGACACGTGACAAGCTACACACCTATCCGTTACACAACGGCGGGTCTAATCTCCGAAAACCAGGTGGGACGCCTTGTTGGAGATCGGCGGCAAAATGGTTGCCGATTCCGCCAACGATCTGTATCTATCTATAATACATGCCCTACGACTACAACAAGGGCGCCACACACAACACGCCCGACCAGTACCTAACACATTTCTTCTGCACCTTCCCAACATAACATATATGAGACACACAAGACAGCTACCAAACTGTCATGTTGAGCCTGTTACCCGCAGGGGAGATGTCCCTATATATATGCTGTCTGGGAAACCGTAGACACAGGTACTTTCTGACGCTATGAATTCATTGCTAATCTGTCTCAGACTCTATGATAGAGATGGGTTCGTTGTGTCATATTAAGAAAAAGAAAAGAAAAAAAAACTTTTTGGGGAGATGTCCCTTTATGCTGTCTGGGAAATCGTAGACATACAGGTACTTTCTGACGCTATGAATCCATTGCTAATCTGTCTCAGACTCTTTTCTATGATAGAGACGATAGAGATGGTTTCGTTGTGTCATATTAAGAAAAAAAAAAAAACTTTGTAGGCCGTCGTCGTCGTCGTCGTCGTCGTCGTCGTCGTTGTCGTTGTCGTCCCTTTTCAAAAACGCGCTGCTCCATGTTTCAGCCTCCGGCTCTTTCGCGAGGAGGGAGACCAAAGGCACACAAGGTGCTGCGCGCCGTGTCTCGTGCCCGTCAGCGCGCAGCGCGGCCGCGACGGTGGCGCAGTGTGCGTGCGGGGGTGGCGGCGCAACCGGCAGCGGTACACAAAAAATAGGTTAAATCTTTTTTTGGGGAGCTGCTGCGCTGCTGCTGTGTGCAGCTGCTGTGCTCTGTCTGTTATAGAAACCTCACGGCTACGAATCAATCCAGTGCTTTTTCCTTTCGCATCGAGGGAGGCCGAGGCACAAAAGACACTGCCCGCCGCGTCTGGCACCCAGCGCGGACGCGGTCACGGCGCGGTGAGTCTGCGGGGGTGGCGCCGCAACCGGCTCTTTGGTACACAAGAAAAAAGGTGAAATCGTTTTTTTTGGCGTGCGCTGCTGCTGCTGTGCTGTGCAGTTGAGGTCACGGCTACCAATCCAGCGTTCTCCTTTCGCGCGGAGAGAGACCGAGGCACGCAAGGTGCGGCACTCCGTGTCTCGCGCCCAGAGCGGCCGCGATTGTGGCGCATGAGTGACACAGCAGCAGTAGCAGTCAGGGGGATGATCGCAGAAAATACTGCTGCTGCAGTAGACTATGTATGTAGGAGGGGGGCACAAAAAAAAAAAGTCCATCCATCCGTTGAAAGGAAGGAAGAAAGGTGACATGTACTGCTGTACATGCACTGCTGTATGCAAATGCACATGCATATCATACGGAAAGCAGCGTGCTCTGTACCTACCTCTGCCTGCCTGTTCTGAATATTATGTTGTGCCCTGTACATGTATCTAAAACTCTGTAGGTTGTAGTTCACGCTGCTAGGCTATTATTGCTGTGCTGGAAGGTGGTTGCTACATAATAATAATAAGCTGAACATCATCATCATCATCACATCATCCAGCAGCAGCACAGCAGCACCAGCACTACTAGCAGCATCAAATCACCATCAGCAGCAGCAGCAGCGCAGCAGCAGCAGTATACTATACCACAGAGTATACTCTGGCTGCTGCTGTACGTAGTCCCTCCGTTTCAAAATAAATGGGTTGCTGTGTGTCAGGAGAGAGAGGTAGGTGTGGCTTCCCGACGGATTCTTGCGTGTATTTATTCCTGCCAATTTGAAATCATAAAATAGTGGTATAGCAGTCCTACAACAGCAGTGTAGAGAGAATTCACACAGCGTAAAGTAGTAAACATAAACAACGGCAGACCCACGAGGCTGCGTTGGCTACACAACAAGAAGAGTTCATGTTTTGAAAACTGAAAAAGATTCGCCGAAAAGGTTTTTCATGTGCCTGGCACATGACATGGCATGCCTCCTACACATAGTCTACATTATTAGGATCGATGGAGTCATCATTCATGTATGTGCAGGCAATTGATGCAGGAAGAAAGATCCGTTCTCTCGGTGCACTACTACTGCTGTACACAGCACATGCCTCCCACAAACAGGATAGACATACATGTAGATAGATGGAGAGATATCGTACAGCAGTAACAACAACAACAGCAGCCCCGGCTAGACCGCTTCTGGTTACGAAACAGAAAAAAGGTTGAGGATGGATGAATACCGCATTATTATCATGCGCTGTTCACCGTGTTCAAAAAAAGTAATTCGGGAAGAAAGGACACATGATGATCGATGTGCTGTATGTACAGCAGTATTATAGTGGATGTAGATGGTCCGCTCTTCGGTAACTAGAAAAGTAGCTGGCTAATCTAATTGATAGATCTCGGCCCCTCCCTGTGAACCCCTCCGTGCATACAGCACACGTCTCGCGCATCATTAATAGATAGGTAGATCGAAGTCATGCAGCAGTAACAAGAACGAACGGCAGACAGACCTGGCGACGCTACTTTTTAGTGTCAACTT